ATTGCCAAGACGCTGCAAGCCGTCAAGATGGTGCTGTCCTACAACCCCGACCTGCTCGAGTGGGACTCCCCACATCGGACCAACCAGCAGCAGTGCTACTGCTACTGCGGGGGCCCCGGCGAGTAAGCCCCCGCCCGCCTGCCTGCTGGGAGGGTTGTCGTATTTGGTTTTGTGGGGAAAAGCATTTGCAAAGGCAGATGAGATCAGGTTGGGGAGTTTTTTCCCCCAAGAGAGAAGTCCCCAGTTTGCAGGGCATTGCACCGGGGCCAGCGGCTTTGCTGCCCTCTGCCATGCGGGTCTCTGCTCACGCCCGGAGGCACCGTTTGCACCCAACTGCAAACGGTGCAAACGGTGCCTGCAGAAAATACAAGTTAGGGCCAGACTTTCTCTCCCTGGCTGGGACATCCGTGCCTGGGAGCGGGACAGGGCGGTGGCTGCTGCACGCTGCCCATGCCATCACCCTCCTCCTCTCGCTCCCCAGGTGGTACCTGAAGATGCTGCAGTGCTACCGCTGCCGGCAGTGGTTCCACGAAGCCTGCACCCAGTGCCTCAGTGACCCCATGATGTTCGGAGACCGGTATGTCCCTTCCAGACTTTATCAGAGCTGGCTTCCTGGGGGGGCTCACGCATGGACACATCCCCAGTCTGTATCTCCCCGACCCGGCTGTGGCACTGATGCAGATCGGCTGCCCCGGGGGCGGACGGGTGGTCCCGTCCTGCAAAGCCCTGCTCCTCCCAGCCGTGCTGTCACCCTTGGCACCCAGAGCACTGTCCTCAGCCCGACCTGTCCCCAGGCCCTGCGGGGCTGCGGGGATGATCCCTACCCCCCAGCGTTCTGCTCCCCGCTCTTTTCCAGGTTCTATGTGTTCTTCTGCTCCGTATGCAACCAGGGGCCTGAATACATCAAGCGCCTGCCCTTGAGATGGTAAGAAACGGCCCCGGCTCCTTTGGGATGTGCTGGGGTGGCCGCGTGGCACTGGGCTGGCTGGTCCCTGGTGCTGCTGAGCCTTGGGGCCAGCCCCAGATCCGGGTTTTGGCAGCACAAGTTCGCAGAGCATCTCCCGCTCGTCCCAGCGTGGGCACGAAGCTCGGGGTGGGGAGTGGAGTCTCCGGCTGCTCCTGTCTCCATGGCCCAGCTCTCCGGGAGCCCAGCCTGCCTTACCAAAGGGCTCCTTGCCTGCAGACCAAGAGCAGAGCCCGGCTCTCGCACCGGGGAGCCGGTGGGACCGGCCGAGGCAGGAGCTTGGTCCCCGGGGTGCTACAGCCCAGCCCTGAGCTGGGGGCTTTGCTCCTCCTGCCCTTGCCCTGTTTCCCAGGGAAGCCGTTTCTCAACGTGCCCCAAACCTACTGTTTGTCCGAGAGCCAAGGTACAAGGTTTGCCAGAAGATAACTGCAAAAATCGATCGGGTGTCACGGCATCAAATTCTGTGATTAAATACAAGTTTGCAGGTAGTACCTTCTGGCGTACCTTGATGGTCTGAAAGCACTTTATAAAGTATATTAACAGTGCCAGCAGCCCAGCTTTTCCCTGCTGTTCCCCTTGAGCTCGGCCGTGTTGGACGTGCTACCAATGCTAACAAGCTGCTGGGACGCAGCTGCCTCGGGGACGTTGCACTGAGCAGCGCAGTGCCGCAGGCTGGAAGAAGAATAAGGGAAATCCTGCAGGATATGTTGCTTGGCTTTCATTTTCAGAGACGCAAGTGTAAAATCTCACAGGATAGATTGGGTTGTTAAAATAGTTTTATTTTCATGTGGGTAAGAGCTGTCCAGCTCCAGTACCTAACTGCAGCAGGAACACACGTCTGGGACTTATTAAAAATCTGGAAAACTGGGCATTTGTCCTGGGAGCGGCGTGTCCTTCGGCTTCTGGGCTTGGGGGTCTCGGTGTTTGGGGTTCCCCCCAGCTGTGGGCAGTGTTCCACCCCTCCCCAAAGCTCAAGGGACGCTGTCCTGGCTTTGCATCCCCCAGGCTGCACCTCCGGGCTGGGTGGCTTCCCCTGTGAGGTGTGGGAATGGTCCCAGCCTCCATCGAGTGGGTTTTGGGAGGACCGTGCCAGGGGTTGCGCTCGAGCGGCACTGGTGGAGCAGAGCATCGTGGTGGGTACCATCCTGCTGGGGAGAGGGTGGGCTGCTGACCCTCTCACCCGCTTTGCGCCTGCAGGGTGGATGTCGTCCATCTCGCCCTCTACAACCTGGGTGTACAGAGCAAGAAGAAGTACTTTGACTTCGAGGAGATCTTGGCCTTCGTGAACCACCACTGGGATCCGCTGCAGCTCGGGAAGGTAAAAACGCGCAGCCTAGGCTTGGGTTGGAGGGCAGCCGTGGGGAGGGAGAGGTGCTGCCAGGGATGTAAGTCACAGATGGCTGTCCCCAAAGCCCCGGCTGGGAGGGACCGGATCCTCCTTCCCCGTGACAGTCGAGTCCCCGAGACCGGGGCAGGTTGGCTGGCGCAGGGCGATGCTCGCGGCGCAACGGTGGGGCAGGGAGCCTGCCCCTTGGGTCGGTCGGCTTCTCCTCTCAGCAGCTGCCAACCTCAAGGTGCGTTTGCGTGTTGCTTCTTGGGAAGGGGTTGGAGCTTTGGGAGTGCCCACTCACCGTGACCTGAGCCGGCTGCTCCTCGGCCGGTCCCTCGTGGGGAAGGAGCTTTAAAACACCTGCCTGGTATCTCCGGGTGGGCAGGAGCACACCGCCTGGGGTGTTTGCACCCGCTGGGAACGCGCGGCATCTCCCATGTGCTGTTCACCCACCCCGGGGTAGGCGTCAGAGCGGGCATCCCCAGCGGGCAGCGTTGTCAGTGGAGGGGGCCGAAGCGATGCCGACCCCCGGGCACGGGCCCTGGGCAGAGCCGAGGGACCTTTTCTGGGTCTGGGGCGCAGCTGGGGCAGGCGGAGGGTGAATGGCGGGAAGGGCCATTCCTGCGTGTTGGCAGTGCCACCGTGCCAGCAGCCCCGCGCCGATGAGCTCTGCCAAGCCCCGCTTCGTGCAGCGCTCCTGCTTGAAATTAGTTTAATCACCTTCCTCTGCGCTGGGGTTTCCCCTTGTTCGGGTGTTGTACCCGACAAGTTTCCTGGTCGGAGCTAGAGCTGTGAGAAGTGCTAACACTGAGGCGTTTTGGAAACCCATCACCGCGTCAGGACGGACCGCGGA